GCCTCTTGGCTGCAGTAAGTCAGGACGAGCTGTGTGAAGTGCACACTTTTAATGGCACAGAAAATAAATGTTGGCAGCTTTTCCTTCACACATACGCTCAGGACATCTGTCTAAAACAACAAGCTCTGTTTTTAGCCACTGAACCACAGAAACATGTCAGTTTTTATCTGAGAAACCTTTGGGGCGAACTTAAAAGACCGTGTGAAGCACGTGTTAGACTAAAGCCGTGATAAAGCTGACTATGTATAATTATTATCATATATCATTTTTATTGAATGAATATTGAGGGAAATACTTGATAACATCAAAGCTCAATGAATCCAGATAGTTTGCTGTTTGACAAGCAGCCACATAAAAGCTTTGCTGTGTTTGCAGAAATAAACAGTCGAGTGGAAGAAAAGAAACGAGGGCTGAGAAAACAGCAGAGCACAGAGTCAGGCTCAGTTCGTCACACAGTGGAAGATTCTCTGTTCATCACACTAAACAAGCTGTAAGACGAACACATGTATGAGGAGCTTCTCCAGTGTTACACAACCAGAATAAACACCACACTCTCCTCTCAGGTGTCCTGGCACACACATCGGGTTCCCGGGGAGCCTGACGAGTGTGATCCATGCTCTAGTTGGAAATAGAGCTGAAACGATTCATCGAGTGTTTCCAATAATTTGATAATAAAAAATTCTCGACACAAACTCTTTTCTTCGCTGCTTCACTGAAGGCACGGCTCTGTGACGCGCTGTTTAAACAGAAACACTGATAACACAACAGCAGCAGACGTGATGACACTTTCACAGTTTGACATGGAGTCGGCGTTTGTTTACACACCGTGAAGAACAAAGAGGCGGAGCCATTACTGAGACCGTGATCTCAAGCAGATTGAAGAAAACATGTTTCTAGCCTCCAAAGCAGTCGCGCTGTTGCTGTGCTCACCATTAAAAACGCTAACAGGACTCCTTCATCACCTGATCCACCAGCGTTTGTTTCACACAGAGAAAACCTGCAGCAAAGCCTCCAGAGCTGCATTAAAACACGCAGACGAACTGTGATTCTCTTATAATTGCACAAAACTGACTCACTCGATTAGCAGTGATGCCCTGCTCACTGTCTGACCCTCAAATGATTTTTCCTGGGGTAGAATGATTGTACAGTATTCATGTTTAAAAAGAACAAGGTTCACTTTATTTTAGATTTATTCTAATCCAGCGGTCCCCAACCCCCGGGACACGGACCGGTCCTGGTCCGTGAGCCGTTTAGTACCGGGCCGCGAGAGCTGAGGCTCATTAACTCGGTTTCCCTGGGTCTTTTCCCATCTGTTATGAATAAATCTTCTTCTTTTTTGGTACCGGTGCTGGTTTTATTTTGTTGTACTTATCTGCGACACCTTAAAGGGCGGTGCGTGAAAATATTGTCAGACATAAACCGGTCTGTTTACTGATCTAATCCACACAGGGTCAGAAGTATACATACAAATATATACATGCATTCAAACCTTTCAGTAAGTGGTGCTACAGGATCTACTGTGTCTTCTAACTTGACCAAAGTCTATTAACTGCTCATTATTTACCACAACTACTTGTTTCTCTTTGCAGCGTAGCAAGGATTTAACAACAGTCGTTGGACTGACTGGTATTCACAACAAAAGTCAAGTCAAAGAAGTAGAATTACAAATTTACACTAGTTGGTCTTTTGAAACTATTCCTAAACAACTGCAGATTCCAAGATAATGAGTTCAGACAAATGTACACAAGCATCAAACTGCAAACTGCTCCAAAATCCTCCAAGCTCAACTGAATATTTGCAGTTCTAACGATGAGACGAGAAGTAAAGACTGCTGGTGTCAAAGAACCTGAGGTGATTATTGATGCTTTTATGTCTTCTTGTTTGGATTATTGTAACGGCCTTTTTACTTGTTTCACATCAGCTTCAGACTGTACAGAACGCTCCAGAATCCAGTTTTGGCTTCTCTTCATTGGTTGTCAGTAAATTTTAGGTTTCGTTTTAAAATTGTAGTTTTGTCTTTTAGAGCTCTGCACGCTGAAGCTCCCCAGTTTATCTCTGACCTGCTGAAACTTCATCCTGAGCACTTAGGTCGTCAGGTCAGAGGTCACTGTTGCACCAAGCACCAAGGCTGTGGAGCTCTGTTGTCTTTACGCTGTACAGACGCCATCGACTCTTTTAAAAGCAGCTGAAGACATTTCTATACAAACAAGCTTTTAATTAATTTTCTCATTGTTTTATATTATTATTTATATTTCTGGTTGTATTGTGAATCACTTTAATGACATATAAATACATTTAACTCACTCACTGTTTTGCTCCCAGTAGGATCATGCTCTGGGGCTGTTTTGCTCTCAGTGGTACATTGCACAAAGTAAACAGGAGGAGGACTGCCTCCAAATTCTTCAACTTCACCTCAAATCAACAGCTAGATGTTTTAAGCTTTTGGGCACATGTGAATTAGAGGAACTCCAACATTAACTAAAACTTGTGCAATTGTTGTAGTTTTAAGTATTTAAGGTGAATGCTGCACAATCAGTCCACCCTGCAAAGACAAGACTTCAAAGAAATCATGTGAAGCTCACATTAGCATGACATGCATGCCCACGATCAGTGCACACATCATTCTCACCACAACAATAAGTACAAGGGACTTTGTTCTTTGGGCACAGTAAACTTTCAGCGCTGACCTACTTTAAATGCCTCCTGCTGTTTGCAAAAATAGAAACGCAAAAATCCTTCAGTGAGCTGCTTCAGTGATTCTAAAAAGCTCGAGGCTGACTTTCACTGTTCTGCCACATTAACTGCAGTGAGGTCGCACTGCTGTGTGAATGAAAGATTCCCAAAACAAAATCCAGGGAATCCCCTGACAATGTCACTGCTGAGAGAGACGTTCGTGGAAATGTTGCAGTCATTCCAGAAATACCTATCACACAGTATTAAATGGAGTCATATATTATACATAAAGCTGTATAAGTGTGGAGCCAAAGGCCAGCAGTGAATTAGGGCATGCATAAAGATAGCAGTGGGGCAATGAAGCTGCATGCAGCGCTTCAGTGTTTGAAATCATCAGTTCATTTTCATTACCTTGTAACCGACCTTTTAACCTGATATAAATATATGTGAAAATAAAGATGCATCGCTACACTGTCGGCCTTCATCTGCTTCTGTCATGGCTGCACTAAATGCACTAATGTGTCACCTAAAAATGGTAAAAAAGAAAGTGCACCCCCTTTGAGTTCTAAGGTTTTACTATCAGGACATAACAAGAAATTACAAAATTTGATAGATTAGGTAAATACAACCTGAGAACAGCAACACAAGTGAAATTACACTGTGTCACTTTAACAAAAACTAAGACACCGTGCAGGGATGAACAACTAAATACACCATAATCCAGTAGCTTGCAGAACTCTTCCTTTCAAGTAGTTGTTTTCTATTCAGTTCATTTTAATGTTATATATACAGTGCAAATTATAACAACAGTCGCCTTATATTGTAAGGCAAAGACCCTCCAATAATACAAAGAGAACAGAGAAAAGCCCAACAATCATATGACCCCCTATGAGCAGCACTTTGGTGACAGTGGGAAGGAAAAACTCCCTTTTAACAGGAAGAAACCTCCTGCAGAACCAGGCTCAGGGAGGGGCGGGGCCATGTGCTGTGATTGGTTGGGGTGAGAGAAGGAAGACAGGATAAAGACATGCTGTGGAAGAGAGACAGAGGTTAATAGTAACTAATAATTAATTAAACTAATAATTAAATGCAGAGAGGTGTATAAACACTCATTTTGATCCACTGTTCTTTAAAACTCTCTAGTTTATCCACAGCTTTCTTGACTCCTCACCACAGCGTTTGAGCCCTGAACGAACCTCGTAATACCTCGATTCTTTCCATTATCTGATGCCAGTGTGCTTCAGATCGTGGTATTATTCCTGAGAAGTAAAGACTTAGAATTGGCAGGTGTACTTTCTTTTTACTGACTAAACTTTACAGCTTCCTAACATGCACTTATATACTTTTTCCATAATATTCTGCTTAAAGCATTTTTGCGTAGACCCTGCAACTTGACATTTTGACTCTGATCTCCTTTTGTTACAGTAGGCAGGAGACTAATTCCAGGTCCTTAGACAAAGGTCTTTTTGGTTTAGGGTATATTATACGTCTAATGATTCCCTTAGATGTATACTCACAGCCTGAAAACTATCCAGCAACTAAAATGTTTTAAATTGAGTTAAAACCAGCGTGTTTGCATTTTGTATTTTGGGGGTTGGCTGGAAAAACAAATAGCAGATGGCCGATTCTAAGTTGGGCTAAAAACAGCAGCTGAATGTGAGAATGTGCAATGATTTCTGATGATTATGATATGTATCATTCAAAAAGCAAAAATCACATATTTCAGAAATGTTGAGGTCTCATAATTGATGCTCATGAACACTTAAAATGTAATTTAAAAACATGTGTTTTCGTTGTTTGCATTTTGCTTTCTATTGGATCCAACAGAAAGCAGAAAAAATTACAAATAAATAAAAAAATGATGCTACGTTGTGATATTGTGTGTATTACCACGGTTGATTGTTGAGATGTCAGTGTTTTACTGTGTGAGCAGCTAATATCATACATATTAGAAATATAAAATCCAATAGCTGCAGCTGCATAGCTACTTAAAAAATAGAAAAGAGCAGCAGCCCTTTGGTTTCTACTTGACCTATTTTTATAATGAGAACAGGTGGCTGTGCCGAGCACAAGCAGAGAGGCGATGCTGCGCTTTATCACATACTTTAAGTGGATGAAAATCTCGATGAAAACGTGCGCGCCATTTGCTCATCACTATTGCATTTTAATGCTGACCAATTAGAATTACCTATTTTTATATAGCTTCATATAACGCACCGACTAATAGAGGCTCGTGTATAATAACGCAGCTCTGATATAAATACGATCAAATCAAATGACATCCTCGCTGTAGCGTTTGATGGAGTACAAAGCAAAGCCTGACTCACCTCCACGAAATAGAAGCAGGGCAGCAGGCTAACACTGTCTTTAGTCTGGATCCTCTTCTCTCGTACAGACATGGTCGGCCTCTGAACGTCCAAACAGATCCGAGATGTAACGAGGGAAGAATGGCTGCGCTCCTCCAGGCGTCCTGCTGGAATCAGGAGCGCTCCATACCGCTGTAGCAGTATGCAACAACCGCTCAGTGTTCAGCACGGGGACCCGATGCTCCCTCCAGCGCGACCCTTTATACCTGCTGGTGAGCTGCTGGGAGCGCGGTTCTGTGTTTCTCTCCGCTTGCTGTCAGGTAGAGAACAGCGCCTGAGCAACAGAGCGAGAGGAGGACAGAGCGGGGGGAGAGAGCGCAGACGCACTGAGGAGGGCTGACGGTGGACCACCAGAGTGGATGTGCATGCAAAAACGTCTGTTTCACATATTCTTAAACATCATTTGAATGCTGTTTTGCCACACGCTGCTCACGCTTCGGTGTTATCATCATTTGTGGTGATTATGGCGCATAAGCAGCGCTTATCTGTGCGACTGTTCCTCTGCGTTTAAAACACATCGTGAAGGTTTCCCTCTTTGCTTTCCTCGTATTTAACGTCACATCAGCAGCGATATCAGAGGCAACTTTATGTATCTGAAAGCTGTTCCTAAATAATGCCAAAACTGCCATTTCCAACGTACGTCCCCCAAAATTAAATTAAGCCCGATATCGGCTCCGGATATCGGTTAAATTCACGTTATATTTTTGTACTATTGACGGATATTTTCCGTTTATATTAACATTTAGAGGGACTTCTTTTTACTGTAACTCATTAAATGTACGTCTTTATATCCTTAAACACAATTACAACCCAATGCACCATTTGCTCACAAATTCTTAAATGTAAACTTCTTAAATTAAGCTTTGTAAACAGCAACATTTGTACAATTAATGTTAAATATCCTTATATAGTTCTTGAGTTGCAGATATCAGATTTCAGTGTTGATTCAACAGAATTGCCAAATACTGATTTAACATTGTTTCAATCAGTATTTGATATCTGGGATACTAAACTATAACGACATCATCCACCTCGTCATAAAACGAGTAAACAGCGAACACATGGACAAAATAACTCATCTTTAAAATTTGAGCGTTTTTATGTTCCTTGAAATAAATGTTTCTTTATGTGAATATGTTGATATACATTCATTTAAGTGGCTCCGACGTATTTTCTTCAAACAGGATATCCGACAATCCGAACATTTACCAATATAATAAAAATAATATACTATAGATATAATAACATCCAGAGTAGCTTTAAGGTAGGATCACTGCCTTGTGGTTGTTGAGCTGATGACACAGTATATGTAGTCAGTTTTTAAACTCACCTTTTATTCCCAAATGAAATCAGAGTGAGCATGTGTGCTAGACTAACACTGGAGGGTCTTTACCTTACAACAGCCTCCAGACAACATTTGTTGACAGCTAAGTGGTGATATATGAATATGAATAAAACTGAACAGCTCCAAAGGTGTTCCTGAAATTTGGGTTTATTAGAACAGAACAGATCTCAGCAGAAGGCTGACAGGACTTTTACCCATAAAATAAACATAAAGTACAGAGAAAAAATAACATTTAAATAAAAAGAGATGAGGACAGAAAAAACTACACCAAACCATAAAAACATGTTTAAGGATTTGTTGTGTCAGGGGTGGAACACTTCAAAGAGACCCTGAATCAGTGTCCCCCTAGATTCTCTTCCCTTATTTAAGTCACAGCTCAAAACATAGTGGG